TGGTGACATTATGTCAAACGGCGATTCTGTGACCGACTATCGGGTGCTATCCATCCAGAGTCATGTGGTATCCGGATATGTGGGCAATAAGAGTGTTGTCTTTCCACTACAAGTAATTCATATAAATTTAAATACCCTAGATACTAGATATTATTTGCAATGAATAAGCTCTCATTGAACGAATGGACAGGTATTGGGTCTGGACGTGGATGCCATCAATTCTGTGCAGTTCTCCACTCATACGGGTTATGAGCACTGGTCGGGACAGGTGTTGGACTCCAATGATCTGAACGTATTGTTTGACAATTTAGCCAAAAATGATTTACACAAACGATACACACATATAATGACCGGTTATGTGGCGAAGGCATCCTTTTTAGAGACCATCGCTCAAGTGGTCGCTACTGTTAAGAGTGTCAATCCCGGAGCTATTTATCGTATGAATTGATCAAGATCATTGATCAGTCATTTTTATATTTTATTTGTACTTTCAAATTATAAATCTTAGAGTTTATTATTAATGAATTAATATTTGTTATCAATGATTTGGCACAATTAATACAGTATTTATATACCGGTATTTATTTTTGCATAATACAGATATTATCTCTGAACTCTGCTTTAATATGACTGTTATCATGTAAAACTGTACTGTATAGTATTATTAAAGCAGAATTCATTTACTAGTTTTGTTATAAAATTTATTTCTAACAGATATAAGCTAATCATAGCATATATATTTACTTAAATTATGAAACCAAACCTTTATATTACCGGTAATTTAAAGTTTTAATTTTACTTCATTATAGTTTGCGATCCAGTAATGGGCGACAATGGACAATTTGTATGTTATGTCATATTCATAATTAATTATATTTGAATTTATAATTTTCATAAATGAATAAATTATGAAAGAGATACAGTATTAGTAAAAATGACTTGTATTGACAGTATGTGCCCAAAGAATTGCTTCCCATTTATCGCAACAAAATCATACCGATTGCAGACATTATTACTCCCAATCAGTTTGAAGCTGAGTTAGTATTTATTGATATAATTAACAAATGAATTGTAATGTTAGTAATTTGTATGCAGATTATTAACGGGTATCAAAATAGAGACCGAATCGGATGCCATTAAAGCACTGGAAGCGCTCCATTGCATCGGTATTCCAACAGTTGTCATATCGAGCAGTAATTTAGCCGCAGATGACTCACAAATGATGACAATAGCCAGCAGTCGAGTGAATGGACGGACACAAAGAGTTAAGATAACATTTCCTAAACTAAACGCCACATTCACCGGATCCGGCGACCTCTTTGCCGCACTCTTTATGGCGTGGTTTACAAAAAGCAATCAAGACTTGAAGATAACTTGCGAGAAGACTTTGTCCACTTTGTTAGCAGTACTCAACCGAACCTATGATTATGCTGTCAAACAGACCGGCGGTACAAAAGATGTTAAAAATATTGAATTGAGATTAATTCAAAGTCGTGCAG